GCAGAAACTGGAAATGACCTCACAAGTAGATTTTATAGAGCTTCTAGCCACTCATGGAGTAATAAAAGGCCTGTACGGATGTGGCTAAGGGGTGATAGATTTTATGACACCAAATCATATGAATGTCTGACTAACATGCTATTGTGTGTTGTCTAAAAATTAGAACATTCAGAAATAGTGACTAGGATAGTGGATTCTAGAGACAGAGGGGATGCAAGAAAAAGAGGAATTGTGGGTCATAGTTTAAGTTCAAGAATTTCCATATGTCAAATCTGATATCACACTCTCACCTATTTGTGCCAGGGGCAGACCCTTTCCTCTTACTACCTGATGTTCTCACTAATACACTGGTTTAACCAATCTGCATACCCCAGGAAGGGAGACATTTTATCTTTAGATAGAGATAGTTGATTTAATCTTTATCAATATTTTTCCTAATTTTACATAAAATATTGATGAACTTTATACAGAAATAAATGTTAAAAGGTTGTTCACATATCTGGAAGTAGAACAGTAGGGAAACAACAGCAGTAATGAAACACTGTAAGATATGCTTCATAAATTTTTGTTTTAAAGAGAATTTTAAAAATTAAAAATGATACAGAATTTCACAATAAGATGATATTGAAACAATAGTAGTTGTTGTATTGTATATTGTTATCTTCAAAGCGGTTGTTTATATTCCCAGATATAGGAATGAAAATTGATCAATAAACAAATAAGCACTAACTGTTCCTTTGAACAAACTAATAGAAATTCATAGTATAGTTACTTTAGATTATAAATATAATGTATGTATCATCTATATCTATAACTGTCTGTAAATATCATCTGTATCAATCTATATAATCATATATATGTGACTATGTAAAACATATATAATATATATTATATGTATATTCCTTTCCTTTTTTTCTTTTTGCTGTTCTCTCATACCAGTTTTGTTTCCTTTACAGCAGTTCCTTTCCCTTTTACAGTATCTGTCATACGATTTGGATTTCATTTACTCTTTCAGGTTATTACACTAGGGAGACAATAGGATATTTACACACGTGGGCACAATTTCTTAAGATAGGATAACATATTCTTTTGCTTATTTATTTAATTTTATGTTTAAAGAATAAAAAATCGTAATAAAAATCAGCATTAGGGATTATACAGAATTTCACTAAACAAGAATTCAACAATGGTTACTGTATTGTGTGATGTTATCTTCAAGTTGCCAGATATAAATGTGTAAGTTTTTTCTTTCTTTTTAATGTATTAATACAGGGTCTACAGGGCCTCACTACACAGATTGGACTTGTAGTGATCCTCCTGCTTCTCAGCTTTCCAAGCGCTGGAATTACATGTGCGCGACATCACGCCCAGTCTCAGTCCCCCAGGACAGCGAGCCCTGGGTCAGGGGCCACAGGGCAGGCCAGAGATCAAACTCCCAGTCCCTCTGTTTGTCTAAACAGGCTCTGTCATCCACTGAACTATCTGGCTGGCCCAAGATTTGTTTTAAAACAAAACAGAGCAAAACAAAACAACAATAAAAAGTTCTAAGAAACAAAAAATAATAGGGATAAAGAGAAAAAAAATGAGAGACTGGGCATGATGGTGCACACCTGTAATCCTAGCTCTTCTGAGGCTGTAAACGGGCAGATCATGACGAGTCTGATCTAGCAGTGAGACTCTGCAACCCTGTAGACACGTCCCCCCCCCCAAAAAAAAAGAGAGACTGTTAACTGCTTGCTTCTCGCTTGCTTGCTTGCTTTAGAATAAAAGGAATTTTATTTCAATTAGTAACAATTAGAAAATACAGCTAGAGAAACAATATAATGCTTCTTTCAAAAGATCAGTAGAATTTTCTTTGGATAATTGTTGGTCTTTCCCCAAGATTTAGCGGTGATAAATTGTGCTGCTTCAAACATAGGTTCGCATATCACTGTGGTATGATCATTTCAGTTCTTCTGAAAAAAAGGCCCACAAGGGGAATAACTGAGTTAAGAGGGACCTCTAATCCTCGCTTTTCAAGGAATCTCCAGAAAGATTTTCACAGTGGTTGTACCAGTGTGTACTCCCACCAACAGTGGAGCAGGGTTCTTTCTCCCCACAGCTCATTCAGCGTTTGTTATTGGTGGACTTCTTGATGATAGCCATCATTTCTGCGATGGAATCTCAGGGCTGTTTTCATTGACATTTCTCAAATGATAAATGATCCCGAACATTTTTTCACATATTTCTTTTCCACTTGTATTACTTCATCTGAGAGTCTATATTTATCTTAGATTTTTTATCTCACATTTTTTTTGGATTCAGTCTTTGAATCTGGGAGGACTTCTTTTTAAATTCTTTATGTAGTCTAGATGGAAGTCATTTTTCTGAGGGACAGTTGGCTAAAATTTTTTCCCAATTTGTGGATTTTCATTTTATGCTGGTGGTGGTTTCTTTCAACATGCAGAAACATTGCAAAATGATGAGATGCC